AGCAGGGATTAACTCCAGACAAACAATCAAGCAGAAAACAATACCCTAATCAAGGAACTCCCAAGGAGAAAATCACGCCCCCACCAGCACTGGCAGGGCAGGCTACTGTATATAAACAGGGAGCAAACCCCACACTCACTAGCACTGATGATGTTACCTACTTGGGTCATGAAACGTCTGCAAGCAAGCAACCAAGCTCAGAGAGCACCAAGGACTCCACAGTTCAATCTTAAGCTACATACAGTATATTCTCTTCTATTGGAACTAAAGGTTTGTTTAGAAACATCTCAGATTTAAGAGAAACAAACAATAAGTGTTTGGAACTCTGTGTTCAGCCAGCTATTGTAACGATATGTGGGAATGACTTTGGGAGACTGGAGGAAGAGCCGCAGACCAGACAATAGTCAGACAAGTAGCAGCCCACAGAGGGAATGGGGGTGTGGCAAATGTCTCAGAAGGGGCCCTCTCTCGTTGGTTGGACTGTAAAGGTGAGGGGGGGGAGATGTACTTTCAGACATGCAAGATTCTGTTAGTGTAACTTTACAATAAAGTTAGAGCTAGTACTTCTGGGTGTGCTGCTTGTCTGGACCACCTCGCAAGGCTGACAGCTATCAATTTACACATAAATGAATACTTTTGATAGGTAAGCCACACAGTCATCAAGGAAGCCAGAACTGAAGTACCTTCCACCCTCTGGAAGTCCTTGTTCATGTGGTGCCTCAGCCCAAATGATAGACGTGGATAGACAGCCCATTTTAACCCATGTTTTATCCTTTGTATTCATATATATTGATAAACCATTTTAATCCATGCATTGCTTATTATTTAGCACATAGTTATAATTATGATATTTTGCACCCATTGGTAGTACCTTGACCACTGGATGACCTGCTTGTTAGATAGACATGAAAGCAATAGATAAAACCCAGACCATCTGCCTTTCTATCTAGGAATGCCAGTTTGTTAAGGTGATGGATGTGACCCTGGTACCAAGTTACTCAGGAATATTTGATAAAATAAAACTTCAATGTATCTCTTAACCCTCAGATGAGCCATGTAACTTCTTCCTGATTGGTTAACCCTCAGTTGAACTAAACATGGT